TTTCAGCCTCCTAGACTCCGTGATTCCTGAGATATTGATTTACCCGTAAAAAACTTTCACGGAGCCGTACGAGTTACCCGCGGGTACAGGAAGGCTGAATTTAAATTTGCCGCGTCACCCGCTGGCGGGGGACACTATACCAAAATTTCAGTCTTCTAGCTTTTGTGGTTCCCGAGTTGAAAGTGTGGGTCAAAATGTGGGACACACACACATACACACAAACACACACAGACAACCCTGTGACAATATGCGTTTTGTAACGCTGTTACACAGCACAAGACGCATAAAAAGCAGTGAAGCAGAAGAGTCAACTTTGAACGCCCGTGTGCAAAAATGTCGATAGTGGAGGCAAAGAAGAGCCAAATGGAAGAGCTGCCAGCTGCATCAAAGACAAGTAATGCAACGACGAAACGGCATCCCAAAGTATCGAAGCGATTTCTTTTATAGCTCTGTGTGATCGATGACCCGATGTACATCTTCATTTCTAAGTCTTATTAAAATGTTCTGTTTATCGTTCCCGTGATGGATGCAAACGCGGTTACATTTCCCACCCGAATATAAAGATTTTTTTTCCAGTAGCCATTTACATCCGTTTCGACTGCTCCTTATAATCTGCTTATCTTACATTCTCCGGCAAGCTAACGGGTTTTTGCGTGTTCGCAAGCTGAAATCATATGAGAGCATACCATCAAAAATGCCTGCAAGTCGAGGAGAGCTTGTACTTAGTTCCATTCTTCTAGATAGATTATGGGTCCTGTCAGTTACTATTGTCAGAGTTGTTTGCGAAGTCGGTGTGCATTCTTTAACTTCCCGTACGTTTACCAATTGGATAAACGCCGGGCGGACCCTACTTGTACATCGCCAATAAGATCGTATTTTGATTTCGCATACATGACGAGGTGACATGAACATCAGAATAACCAGCAGGCTGACCACTAGACGACGCTGTGTTGGTAAAAGCAGTATTTATTAACTGCAGAGTCAAAGTGTAAAATAACTACATATATAATGTTATTGAATCCTTAGAACGGCTGCTTCTGTGACTTCTGCGTCGTGCAAATCGTAAAATATGTTTGCACATCAAAAGACAATCGGGTTTGCTATCGAAAACACAAATTTTTGCTAATACATTACCTGTGTAGCGAAAAAATTCATGTTCTACTCATCTTTATTCGTAATCATTCGCAGCATAACTGCCAACTTCAGCAATTTTGGGACCACTGTGCTGAGAAGGGGGAAACTGCGTCCGGAGGTAGTAAGCGGCATCACGGCAGTGCAATATTAATGAAAAATGTACGACAGCACTGAGCTGCACCACTGATACAAACGCGTGGCTGTTACAGGGGATATAAACGAAGATAACGAGGAATGCGATGCAACGCGACAAATTCGACGTACAGCGTGCCAATTACAGTCATAGCAAGACTCAAAAAACAACCCATAACATATCGAGCAGATAACCTCCACGTTCAACCACGAATGCAAAATTGCATAACACTGAGCCGTTATGGTAGACCCACTAACTGTTGCTAGCGCCGGGGGAATGGGACTTTTATGTGTGTGTGTTTTCTCTTTCCCTCCTTGACTTCTCACTCCATTGCCATACTCAGTTCTATTGCAAATTAGTAATGGCACAAGATAGAGAGTTAAAAACGCCATCAACCCGCCCAAGGAGAGAACTCTCCAGTGAGAAAGCGCGTTGTACACTTTACCACTCCAACTATTTCCGAGTGCCGTGGCGCAAAGCACAGTGAAATTAAGGATGAGGTTCTGACTTCGCTGAATGTAGAGATGACCGAAAAACACGTACAAAAAGCAGCTGCTGATCTTCAACCTCCTCCACAGAGAAACGTATAAAATGGTTCTTGAAGCATTCGAATGGCCACAACTCTAACCGACGCATCGCGATTATTTCTATGACTGCCGGAAGCAAGACCGCCCGGACAATCAGAGCGAGGGTCTGGTACTAATGATATTACTGAAATGCCACTAGAACACTAGGCCGTCTGGAGTACTCACCGTATGTGGTCGCCCACTTCTCACAATGTTGACAACACTTAATCCACAAACTGGTGCAACATCGTTCGCAGAACAAAGTTCTTAATCAAGCGCACTTCCGAGGGTGCAGTGCACGTGCACGGACTTCACCCTTAACAAATTCTCTCAGAGCCACATCCGCAATGCTTTTGTCAATTTCGTCCAGTGCATCCTGCAACGGCCGGTCACCGTAGTACTGAATCAGCTGAGTGCCATATTCAATCCACACACAATTTGCACACCCAGCCCCACAACATTCGGAAGGGTCCGGGCGCCGTGGTTCGCGTAGTTGACTGCACGCTTCTTGAGGATCACCGGCCTTTTTTTTATTTCCCTGAACCAATTTTTCATCGGAACTCGGCTCTGCATCTCCAGTGTATCGGTAACATGTCAGATGCCATGGTTGGTCGACAAACCTGGACCGTCTGCTCGCGGAAATCAGAAGCGACCGTGCCACCATCCTGAAAAAACAACAGCAAAATGCTGCCAAACCCCCGGCGAACTTACAAACAAATGTTCCGACCCACCGAAATACGCTCACTTCACGTGGCTTCCTGCCTTTTATTTCATAACACCTCAACCATCTCCCTCATTTTCCTCGTTTGATGCTCCGTTACCGCGACCTGCTCATCCAGCCAATGTCAGTATTAGGCGCCGACATAACAAATGCTCCAATGGAATAAAAAACCCAAAATCTGATTAAGTGTCCTTTATTATATGAAAATCATAAAAGATTCTGTACAATCACATTTATCTCCGAATATTTACTAGCAGCAACAAAATTCAGTTAAACCAATAAAATGGCAAGACACAAGCGCGCAAGAAACAGCGAACAAGAGGCGGATATGTTTTCGTGGCTTAAAGCATCAAGGCAAATTGAACTGAGTCGAAATGAGTTCAGAACACACCACGTCACCATGATTATTCCTCGCACAAACATACCATCAGTCACTCATGAAGCTAACCCAAACAATGGAATAATCCATAATTGTACCTAACATGCACATATACAAAAAACACACACACGCGCGCACGCACACATACAAACACGCAGAGATCGGTCTTTTAAAGTTACAAATCTGTCCGATGGCAGTTTAGTGTTATCACGGCTAAAAATGCAGTAAAATGATCATAGCAGAGGTTATAATCAAATAGATAATGGAAATGCTTAAAGGAATATTGGAAGCGATGATCTAGCGAGTGACTGCAAATCTCGCTCACTGCGAATTCACTGGCGTAGTCTGCTCAGCCTGTGCAACAAGTACCTCATGCGGTAGCGAACGCACCAGGTCCGGCTCCATGCTTTTCATCTTCTCATCAAACATCTGCAAAGGAACTTTTCTAAGTAAACCCATGCGCTAGCAGTATGCTCCTTCCTATTTCAATTCACAGCAAAATAACCGTTTTTCTGTGGCTGCTGGGCAATGCTGCTGTCGACAAACATGCAGACGACGTTAAGACATTTTCTTGCACCACAATCGGCATGAACTTCTTACTGCACCCCACTGATGTTGTGGCTGTATAACCTTGCGCATCCTCAAAAGGGGCTTCTAGCGTAGCGCACGAAGATGGCCTGCAAAGCTCGTCAAATAAAACGAATTCTGCAAGGCACCAATTCGGACGTCGCAACCAGACAGAGAAGCCCTGGCGCCCAACCGACTAATTTATAGGTAAAGTGATAACTTACAACTGTTCGCATATGAAAGCCTGCTGCTGCCGCTGCTGCTGCACGCGAGTGTGGTGCAGTTGCTCGCGTAATGAACTTGCCCCACAGCTTCTACGAGAACTAAACCGTGGCTGTTGTTTCCGTTCTTGCTGAAAACCACACGACACAGCATAAACTAAAAATACGGCACAGCCATACACACTGGTATAAATGGCGCAACAAGCATACATCGAGCACAAACCGGATGGGCCCCAGAGCACCCCCTGCCCCCTCCCCCAAAGCGCTTGCTTTCACACTCAATTAGTTTCAAAAGATTTTTCGCTTCCCTCCGTTTCCGGGCTCATTTATTGACTTTCAATACGATCCATCAATTTCCGGCTAACTTTATTGCCTCCTTAACTGACTCGTTGGCCTTTCTAATTCTGTTAGATCCCCACTTCTTCTCCTACTTCAAACTTATACATATGCACCCATTTTTTTAAAATACAAAATCAAGTTTCAAATAAATCCACTTCAGGTATCCGCCCGGTATGATAATTACTCAAACAGAAAAATCGGGATTACTTCCCCAGCGCAATCTGTACATGCAAATTAGTTTATTAAATGTACAGCAATGACAGGCTCTACAGTGATCAAGTTACCTGGTTCGAAGGGGTTCCGCCGCTATTTGTCAACAGCATGCCTTGATTAGTTGTTGCAACAGCAGCAGCACTGTTACAGTCAAAACGTTTCAGCGCGTCACCGGCGGTGTTGTAAATGCCCGGTAATCTGCAAAGCGAATGAAGACTACTAGATAAAGCACATTTTTTTACAGGAAGTTGTATGCCCACAAAGCCACAAAACAACTAGCCTAGTTTCCTCTGGACGATGAACGCTTGCCGGACATTGTGGATTCAGCAACGGATTATGGGAAGCAGAAGTTGCGCTAGGTTCTTGCACTGGATGTGATGTGCTTGCAGTACTATTTGCTGCGGCGGGTTGTACTTCAAGCGAATAATCCGGAGCAGTCCAAGGGAAGGCAAATGATGACGAGCTGACTGCGGCGAGTGCTTTATCGCCCGCACATTCAAAGACCGGCGTGGTGATCGCCTCTTCATCTCCGCTAATAGCACTCTCCCTTAAAAAAATTTGCAATTCCGAAAAGAAAAATCCCCTTTTTTCAATTTCTTCATATTTATTAATGCTTAAATCAATAATGTACCCAAAATTCAAATCAAAAACTCAAACAAATAAAACTCTGTAGAATACTACTTACTGTTCATCAATAAACAGCGCCTGCTCGGACTCAACAAAATATTTCTCGTACCGTGGGCCAGGCAACAGTGGAGAGAAAATTTGATCATTATAAAGAATCAAGTTTTTCACTAGCTCGTTTACGAAATTGTGATAGAAAACCTGAAAGAGAATTCTGTCACAGCGACTGCAAACGATATAAATTTACATTTGCATACATTAACATATGCCTTCGGAAAACATTAACAAAATTACTATCTCCTCCTGCAGTGGGTGATCAGAGTGCGTGCTTTTTTTTATACGTTTTTGCAGTACAACACTAGAGAACTGCAACAGTCAGCAAAAACGTCTGTTCTAACAATCTTTGCACATGCATGCTCATCTGTCCGGGTATTTCACTCAGCAACTAAACAAGCCTAGAAGCTGAAATTTTTTCAATGGGTTCTCTGGCCAAGTGCGATGGCACCAACTCTCATGCGCGTCCGCCTCTCACGTGTGGGCACGCGAAAATTTTGGCGAAAAAACTGTTAACTGCTGGATCAGAAAAGCTAGAAAGCTGAAGTTTTAAGGAGATGTCCTCTACCCAAATACGACCAAAGACTTCGAACTCAACTCTTTAGTGTGCCTGGATTTTATGTACAGACACGTGAAAGTAGTTGGTGATTCTGCTTGTATTTCTCCTTATTCGAGCTTTTTCAAGAGTATGTTGTAAACTAATTGTTAAAACGCGTTTGTTTTACTTAAAAGCTACACCTCAGGAATCAATCATTTTCGTACTTGAATCTGAAAACTCAGCTCTGGTGTAACAACAAACAGGACTGTCATTCATCAAGAAACAGCTGAAACGAGTCTCGTTAAAGCAGGCAAATAACTTAAAATGATAGCCAAACACATAAGCAGAAGGCTTTCGGAAGCTAGAAGTCAGAGTGTAAAAACACTACCAGTAAGAAAAGCATGTGCACAGTTATTGCTGTGAGGTTTTTCTGCGAGGCAATCATAACAAGGTTTTTGAACTATCGCAAACGATGCATTTCTAACGAATTCACGGAAATTCTCGCCCTTAAGCAGGGAGATTGTAAAAATTAAAAATAAAAAGTGCCATTTGACTAAACTGGACTGCCGTACAGGGGCCAAGCACTGTCTAAGGTAATCGGTGCAGTCTTAGAAAAACTTTTACAATTGCTAAGGAAGAGCACTTGAGCCACAATAATGCTATCCGCGGCCTAGAACATCCAGCCTTCTTTTCGCGGGGAAACAGGAATATCAACGCACTTGGTCCTTTCCTTCTGGAATCGGAAGAAGTGTAGGACCGAAACAAATCGCAAGATTGTACGGATCCATCATATTTTCGTCACTGAATTCACTGAGATGATTGAGGAAAGCAAAAAGATAACGAAGCACAAGTTGAGTAGACTGTGACAGTTTCTCGATAAGTGGTACGACCTGCAAAATTTTGAAGGTCCTTTTTCATGTCATTCCTTTTCTGTGTTATTAAAAAAAAAAAAAAACTGAACTGATAAAGTGCATGAGTTTGGATCATCAGTAAATTAGAAAGCCGTTACTATTTCACACTTTGACAAGCCAGTGTATTTCGGCTCCAACTCAAAATTCAAACGCTAAATCAGAGCAGAAATATTCGGAAATGCTGCACACCCCATAAACTGTATTAAGTCTTTTAACTGAGCTACTACTAAGCAAAAATTCATTGAATTTTGTTTTACCATGTAATGGATGCCTTGAAAACGCAGGTGAGTAGCATGCTGACGCTTCTTCCACAGCTTTAGGAGCTACTGATGAACAAAAAAATGATAAACCTGTTTGACGAATTCTTGTGCATTTGAACATTTTGCGCACTCGGTCAACTGATCAAAAAGAAAAATCGGAAAAAGCGGTTCACGAAGCTCCCGCAAATATAATTTCAATACACCCGCAATTGAATTGACATCCGCAGCATCAACAACATCTCGTAAAGGATCGTCACCTGCAAAACAGTTCAACTAACGATGCAAGTGACCAGAAGCAAAGTTATTTTGCAAAAGTTTTTTGGACAGTTCGAATTTGCAAAAAATGTCAAATGAAGTTAAAAGCGGAAAAGGATCGGACTAAAAAATTGCTAAAAAAAACAAGCATCAATACCTTTTTCAAAAGCTTCTCGGAAAGCGTTGATTTCAATCTGAGAGCCCGAAATGCGGAAAATCCCCTGATGATGTAGTGCAAACTGAGATAGAACTCTAAAATTAAACATACTTCACAATATCGACAGCAAAAATTCGATTATACCAGTGCTTTACCGATATCCGTAAGCATGATTACTTCCGTAAACGAAATACAAAAAAAAAAAATCCAATTTTCCTAAATTAAATTGAGAGGGTGCCTAAAAGGGAGCTGCTCTACTTCGAAAATACAAAATCATTCGGAAAGAAATGCAACGGAGAGGCAAAGCTATTCAAGAGTGCCCGAGAACAGAGTAAACGCCAGACAGTCGCGAAATACAGGCTGAAGTGCCTCTCCGAAACGTCTAGCCAAAATGCCGGCAACAACCAATATACAATGAACAAGCAGTCACCCAGCAACAAAATCGGTGAATACAACGGATAAATATGCAAGTTCTACTGCTAACACTGCACTGTGGCTAACTGCTGGCAACACAAACCTCTTAGCAGTTGCTTTGGCAGCTACTATTCAAGTCTGTTGCTGCCTACATGCGGGGCTGTAAACACAAGCTAGACTTAAGCGTCCCCATGCCTCGCGCACAATTTTACTCGTGAAATTTTCTATGCCTGATCTACGACCTTCCCGCAGCTGACAACATTCTGATGTCCGCTGTAAAGCATTGCTTTGCTTATCATCAGCGCCGATGGTGTGGGAGTGTTCTTCCATCTCACCTAACCTCCAAACACAGGAACTGCAACACAACAAACCATACTATGCTACTCAGAAGAAGAATGTGAGAGAGTGCAAAAGAGGGAATTTTGAACAATTTTTACCGTATGGTCGAAGTGATAATAAGAGGGATTGCTTCGTTCGTCGCCTCCACGTATTCCTCCAAACTGCCCCCAAACAGTTTCGGCCGTCTAACAGTATCACACAGCATTCCGCTACCGATTCTTTTCTTTGGACGACTGCGAACAGCGCAACAGTTTTCGCTTTCCTCCCCATCAGCTGCAATTTTCACTAGAACTGTTGAAACAGTGATCAGTTAGTTTTTACAGTTACATGTTTAGACTACCACTGCAGCTGATAACATTCTGATGTCCGCTGTAAAGCACTGCTTTGTGACTAGCCTGCTCGCAATTTTGGCGCCCACTGCCCCGCTTTCTTTCCTCGTTCTTTATAAAAAAATTCCCAGGTCGGTTTTTAAAAAGCCCTGTTAATTGTTGATTGGTTCTGAGGCCTAGAACCCTGTTTCAGCGTTTGTCCAGGTTCAGATATTCAATGAAGTTGCTATTCCGCACCGTAATAAAAGTGATTTTTTGAAAAGAGCGAGGCCCTTTACTGCTTGTGAACACCCAATCAAGTGTGAGAAGCAGTAAGTGAAAGCAGAAATTTTGGGCAAAAAATAAGATAAAAGCCAAATACCCATTACACAAAGCAAAAAATGACTAAATTCAAAGAAATTAAAAACTACGATTGAAAGAACAGAGTGAAGGAAGAACAGCCGAGCCAGAACTGCCATCCTGATTGTTCGCTGAGTAGCCATTCAGTGCAGAGGCGATTCCATTAGCGCGCGCTTCCAAACGCTCAATCAGATTACTATTCAACATGTAATGACTGAACTTCTGAAACAACCAACGCCAGTTACGGCAAAAATATTGCCCATTTAATGTGAATCTTGGAAAGCAAATGAAAGGAGCAGTGAATGTTGGCAGAAAGCATTGCAAACGTCAGCTAACCCCGAGATAAAAGTCATATAATTCGTTGATATTGATTCTGCTTTTGAAACTGCTCCCGCTTTCACAGTCCTCGCGAGACGAAGCCTCATTTAAAATCTCGACCGAAGCAATCGAACTTGCCATTGTTTCAGTAAAGCGCTCAGCTACTGCCTTTTCAGTTGATTCCAGTGTTTTCCAAATTTCCTCTGATTCAAGCCTAAATCAGCATTGCAGTTACGGAAAGAAGAAAACAGCTCAAAATGAAAAGCGCAAAACTTAAAATTTCACCAACCTCACGCTGGCCAATCTTCTTTCAATTTGCATATGGCGCTGCTGCAGCTCCTCAGCTACACCACCCATTGCGCTAACAACAGACACGGCATCACCAATTTGCCCTCTAAAACGGATTTTACAAAGCACACTTCTTGGCCCTGCTATTCACTACGAGCTGTGATAATAACGAAAGGACAGTCTCGAAATAACAGCTGCCAAGAATCCGTTTTACAACCTTTCGACTGAAGCACGCAACAACTGCGCGCACTTCAAAAGCTGGGCGAAATATCTATTTAAGTGCAATATTAAGCGCAAACCTAAATTCGAATCGCTTTGGGAGCATAAATGTTGTATGATTTGATTCGATGAATCGTTGCTTATCGGCTTTCGAATCAAGCGAATCCTTGAATTCACAGAGTTCCGCTAATGCGTCCATTTCTTTTTGGCACATATCTTTCCGCACGGTCACTGTACTGTTCACCAGACCACGCAACCACTGATCCATACCGAGATCCATGCACTAAACTAATCCTGTCAATCGTTAATGAGAAACTTTCTTTCACACATACAATTTCAATGTGCTAAGCGATCTGAAATCAACTGTTAGAAGAGACAAGAACTTTTACGATTCATCCAGGCAGAAGATTACTTCTGGACTGTCCAGCAAGCTTTCAGCTCACTCCCAGCCAATGTCTGAATGTGCAGGCACCGACAGCTTCACAAAGCGTGACTGCAACCCGACCAACAGTAAAAACGTATATTAGTCAGCGACAACAGAGTAATTTTTGGCTTCAAACGGCCAATCGTCAGCAAAGATGTTTCGTACCAAAATCGAATGTTTCACAATAATTTAATTTATCATTTTGACGAACCCGAGAACACACACACACACATCCTTATCAAGGCAGGTTAACTTGAATGGATAAATTAAAAACCAAGCAGGCTTTTTGAACATTAAAAAGAGAAGAAAAATCTTGAAACGTACATCGATGAGATCAGAAAGATCGTCCGCGAAGTACTTATGCAATGCCGCATTCGCTGCTTGAACGCATAATAAATATTCATTTCTAGCTTTCAAACATTTCAACTTCACAGCATTGTACTTTTCCAGTCTCTAAAATACCAATTTGTAAAATACAAAACGGAACTTTCACAACGCAGTCAGCAACTACAGCGTTTACAATACGTACAGAACATAAGAGCTCCTATTTTTGACAGCGTTCCTTTATATAATTAATGACAGGTTTTAGGGCCAACTGGGCTCTCCCCAATGTGTCTTCGATTATATTTACATCCAGCGCCTAGTGTCACTCTAAACAAACAACAGGCCAGCAATGATCGTGCTCAAAAAGAGGGCCATTGGTGGGGAATCAAAAGAACTAAACACAGGCAACGAAATGAATTTTCCAGGATTGCCCGAAATGCTGCGCTGCCAAAAAAAAAATTACAATAATAGTATGCTCAACCGAAACAACCGAAGACAGCTGAATCGCAGTCTGAAACTGATTACCAGGAATTTCAAGGACCGGAGAAAAACTGCCATGAAATATTTTGCAAAGACGCGTAAAGGCATCAAAAGTTTCTGAAAATGCCGCTAGACGTAGAAACTAGTAACACCCTCCAAAAATGAACAAAAAAGAACGACAAGACGAAAGTGTGAAGACCTTATCATAAAGCTTTGCGAGGGATCGATGCTTACGTGTAACACCGAGCTTCGTCGGATTACTCTCTTCATACTTTGTTTTGTTTTCCTCCGCTTGCCGGAATTTGCCTTCAACTGCCGAACATTCAATGAAACAGAGCTAAAAACGGAAATAAAATTTCAAGACGAGCCATCACAACATAACAGCCTGAGACAAGAAAACAGCAGCAGATGAACCAAACAACACACCTGATATGTCTTCATTGCGGTATGTAGTTCATTCAGCACTCGACATATTTCGCCATGCGCAAGCGCTCCTATTTCGCGACACTGCAATTTACAACATGAGATACCAGGACTTCTAAAGTATTGAAATATTCCGGCCCTGCTTTCATTCACCCAATCCTCCCTCCCCCTCCCCCTCCCCTCGGGCCTCCCCGGTGGGGCACTACAGATGAGATACACGGGAATACAAACGCCGAAGACCTCTTTCTCACCCCCGGCGTCTGAAAGGTCAAAACAATTCCCAAAAAAAAAACGCCACATATCCAGCCTTCATTTGCAAGATTCATTTCAATAGGAGAACATACTTTTCTTGAAATCCGCTGCAAATCATCTGCTCTCTGAGCAATTAGCGCCGTAAGTCGCGCCGCGTACATTTCAGCTAATGCCATTTTCTGACGTGCTTCCTCCTTTGTTTGATCGACAAGCTGTTGCCACAGCGCACAGGTCGAATATAACGGCCAGGACTCCCGTCTGAAAAACCCACCAAACATGTGCGATGCAAGTCGTCCACAGCACTTCTCAGGAAGATTCTGAAGCAGTCCTCCTTAACAGAACGTAGCTGGACCTCTCGCACAGTCCTGTCCCAATTTTTAGCATTTAGCTGCACACGAGTTCCACTCCCGGCTTTGGTTTGCTCTGTGTAAGACTGGTTTGACTGCTGTATACGTTAAAGGCTATTACCAAACGGTCTCAATTCTAGATTTTATCGCAACCACCATGGCGTTTCCCGTCACTTCTTTGCACAACGCTGGCAAAGTATCTGTGTACTCAAATCACTATTCCATTCGAATCTAATTTTAAGAAAAAATCGGTGGGATAGTCTCTCTCACTCTCGAATATACCTCTTTAGCATCTGGAATAGAGCCTCTCAGCTCGTTGCACCTATCCCTCGTGATGTCTGCAGATCAAATATGCCTGGTTTATGTACCAAAATTTAGAGCAAAAGTTCCGATACGGCAGCACAACAGTTCCATTTTACACACAGCTAGGCGCCACGAAGCGTCATATTCCCTTGATTGTGGCGAATTCCACTATTCCTCACAGTGCACGCTGCACACATTTATCAAGTCGAAATTTATCGCTAGTCTAATGTTGCACTTGGCCGCACGCTGTGCGTTTCAAACTTGAGCAAGACAGAGTGGACCGCGTAAAAAAGCATGCTCGCTACCTTTTACTCATTCCTGCTTCTGCAGAGCCTAGGAAATGCCTCACACAAGGCATGCACTGTCAAGCCTGCACAGGACGCACTTTATAAAACAGCTACCTGCATTCACAACAAAAAAACCGGGGAGTTTCTGGGACGGAGCGGCCCAACTACACAGCCCCGCTCATCAAAGGTGTACTGGTGCTCCATTCATTCAACTTCCCACGTCACCGCTACTCGCACATCTTCACACACTGCCTCTTAAGAACGATTCTGAAGAACCGCGCTGCTTCACGAAATACATTCCAACGGACGTCTACACAAGAAGAAAATCACGCTTCTGAACAGTGAGGCATGAGAAGCACTTTACTTGAACCGTTCATTTTTATGTTTCTGCATGACGCTGCGCGCCAGCTTCTCCAGCTGCTTGCCATACTCGCCGTCCAGTTCCGCCTTCCGTCGGTAGTACTCATTTAACTCCAACAAAATAGCTGTCTGAAAGGACTCAACAAATTTTGTGACACAATTCCTTCAAAAGTTGCAAAAATACAGTAAGTAGCTCCCAAACAAACAGCAGACAAAATGAATGCAAAGCCAACCTGTGCTTCTGTGCGAGTTTCCAAGCATCTCAACTGCTCATTCAGCTGCGAACGGATCTCTGCAAACAGAAAACAGTGAATGATTGCAACAGTGCAAAAAAGAACCGAACCAGGCTAGATCGACTTGCAAAAGAAGCCATGCAGGGAATAAGCGGACAAAGGCAAGCGGAGAGCGGGGCCTTGTGCGCCACTAAGCGCAGCATCAGTTTCCACAAATGCCTAATCTCGCGTATGAAAATTGCGAACTTAAGGACGTGAAGCCCTAAAATGACTTAAAATAATTTCCAATTGTTTTACGAGAAAGTAAAACCCAGGGAGCCAAGGCGCAGTCAGAAATAAAACAAAGTAACTGAACAGGAATGATTCAGTCCATTAAGTCGTACACATTCCTACTTAGTGCCACAGCTGGGCTTCGTCAGTGTGATGCTTGTGACAAGTAAAAAAGAAAAGGAAAGGTTTGTGATAAAACTGTTTTTATTATGCGTTCTTTGCTATGTAACAACAGCACAAAGCTCATATTGTCACGGGGTTGTCTGTGTGTATCCGCAAATTTCAACTCGGGAACCACAAAAGCTACGAAGCTGAAAATTTAGAAAAAATGTTCCTCAACCACGTGTGACCCCGCAAAATTTAAATTCAGCTTTCCCCTGTCCGCAGCTAAGACGTATGGCCCCGCAAAAGTTTTGGTAGGTAAAATTATCATGGGAACCACGGAAGTTAGAAGGTTGAAATTTTGCGCGCATTCCCCTTGTCCACATGCGACCAGAAAATTTAAATTCAGTTTTCCTTTGTTAGCGGGTAACACGTACGGTCCCGTAAAATTTTTGGCGGGGAAATTATTATCTCAAGAACCACGGAATATAGGAAGTTGAAATCTTGTGGTAATGACTCACTGCCCACGCACAACCCTGCAAATTCAGATTCAGCGTTCTCGCGCCCTCGGGTATTACCTGCGGCCTCGTGAAAATTTTGGCGGGTAAATTGTCATCTCGGGGAACCATAAAAGCCAAGAAGCCACAATTTCGTGACAGTGTGCTCTAGCAAAATATAATCCCGCAAATTTAAATTCGGCGTCTTCCCGTGCGCTCAGCTATCACTTATGGCTCCGTGAAAGTTTCGGCGGGGAAAATTATTATCTCAGGGACCACGAAAGTTGAGAATATGAAAGTTTAGGGCGATGCCCCTATCAACGTACGACCCCCGCAGAAATGAATTCAGCCTTCGCGCACCCCTGGATACCATGTGCGGTCCTGCGAAAGTTTTGGCAGGGAAATTGCCTCGCGAACTGCAAAAGCTAGGAAAGCATCCCTGTCTACTAATAACTCCGCAAATTTTCAACGTCCCTATGGAAGTTTTGGCGAAGAAAATCATTAACTCCGGAGCCAGAAAAGTTAGGAGGCTGAAATTCCAGAAGAATGTTCCCTGCCTAAGTAGGCGCTCCATGAACTCGAATTTAGTTCTCAAGTGTGCCAAGGTATCAAGTACCACCACGTGAAAGTTTCGCCTCAAAGATCATTCGAAAGCCAAAAAATTAGATTAAAATTTTAGAAAGATATTCACGTTTCGAGGTTTCAAATTCAGCTTCCGCGTACCGGTGCGTGAAATTTTTAAATTTTTCAAAATTAACAAGCAATAGTTCGGTGAACGGAATTGCATGAGCGGACCGGCTATTATGGTGTGCGCTATTTATTTAGATATAAAAGTGAGGTAAGCAACAACGATAGTGATATCTTCAACATCTGATCAATTACTGGATGTCGTACAACTGTTATTTCTTAATTTGCAGCTTACCATTACTAAATAATAAAAGTACGGTCAATTGTTGCTAGAATACAACTGTTCGTTAAAAAACGAAAAAAAAAAACCCCCCTTGTCTTCCAGGTATTGCTGAATGCTGATTTCACGGGGCTCCACAATACAACACTATTCTTCCAATCAACAGCTCTTTCCCCTACATGTAAGAAAAGACTGAAAACACTGCTAGCATGCGAGCACATTTAAATTGTAAAACAACCACTCATACTGTTAACGGTCTGACTGCTTCAAAATTAGCGCAAAAATGCATTACTGCACCGGAAATCCTGGTGCGCGTTGCCACCTGGATTGTTCACTGACCACGTCTTGCGTCCGTGTATCACTATTTTCAGCACGCCATTA